ATCTTGGGTCTAGGGCCTGCGCACTTGAGTGAGCTCCAGCCCCATAGAGGCCACCAGCCAGTAACCATAGGAAGATGTCACCCAGCATCCACCCTTTTCCTCACCGCTCAGATGGCTTCAGAGGCAGGGAGTCCTGTGCTCAACATCTGTCGGTCCGTCCACACAGCCTCCAGTCAGAGAAAAGCCCTTGGGGGCTCATGAGCACCAAAGCCAGCAGAGACTTTCTGGTTCTCCTGTCCCCTAGCTGGTGGAATCCTTGCGTCCCCAACAAGCAGCTGGCAGCCTCCCAGTCACAGAACTGTCCCACCGTGCCTGATGTTAGCAAAGGAAGCCAGCAGAGGCCCACAGGAGCTCATGCCCACAGCTAAGATGAAGTGTTGACCCTGGCCCAGGATGCCACCTGACCACTGGAGAAGCCCTTCAGCCCAGGGGCCCTGCACACCCCAGGCTGTTTGCAGGTGAACACTGGATACTAGGTTGTCTGGCTGCAGGAGCTGCTTGTCTTCCAGGACCTAGGAGCTAGCCCCTCCCAACTCCCCCAGGGACTCTCCCTTTCATGGAGCTTGTTCAGGGCTTTGTATCTAGAGACTGAAAGCTGCCAACTCTCAGCTACCTTGCAGTTGTCTTAAGGTGTTGACACAGTACCAGCCAGTCCACCTGACTGAAGGCCCAGCCAGAGAGACCTCTAGGAGAGAAAAGACAAGTGTAGGCTCAGGCTAGTCTCAAGGAGTTCACCCTTTCTATCCAAATCCCCTCAGACTTTGTCTCTAAGAGGGATGGGAGCTGGAAAGGGAAAGGAGTTAAGAGCCCCAGAGTAGTAGCAGAGCCTTTTTCTTGTTTGGGACGTTGAGATTTCAGGCTGCTCTGAAAGGCACCAGGGCCCCTTCCTGCAACTTCATAGTCCTGTCCTCACAGGCTCACTTTCCTATATCCGTCTTCTTCCTCCTGCTACAAAGCCAAATTGAAACAGAAGTGGAACACTGACTATCAGCTTTTGCTGGGAATCTACATGGAACAACAGAGTTTAGAGAGGGGCCCACCAAACCAGCCTTGGGGACTTCCTCTCTGGAGGACTGGGGCTCCGCTAAGAATAATTCTTTTTCAATGTAGTGGGTATGGCACCGCAGAGGTGCACCGTAGAAAGAGGAGTTGGATGGGAAAAAGACATGTCCTAAAGATCAAGTAGCTCTAACCACAGCCAGAACAGCTCTCTAGGGAATCTGGTCAGAGGAGAGGTCTCCCACCTTCCTTCTATTGGATACCAATGATGCAGAATAAATGGAGTCTGCCCTCCAGAAGCTACTGCTCCAGTCAAGGTCTGACTAGACACCCCTCTACTACCAGCCTAGATTGTCCCTTCCCCAAATCCAAGTGTACATGGGACATACTGCTTCTCCATGGGGCACTTCATGGCTGCTTGACAGAAGGTCTGGGCTCAGCAAAGAGTATTTGAGACAGCTGAAGACAACTTGGAAGAGAGACAAATACTCCAAGTGTTCACAGCCTGAGGGACAAGCAGAGGTGTCAGTCTACCTGTTGACATCCCCTTCCTGCAATAGTGCCCCTATTCCATTCAAAAGCACTACACAGGGGCCCAAGGATGGTCTTCTAGCTTGCCGTGCAGTCCAGCAATGGCAGCTCTAGATGCTGTTCCTCTCAGGAGGTGTCTGAGGCATCTTTGCAGGAACAGGAGCCAGTCAGTGGTCATCCTGCAAGGCAAGGGACAGACAGAGCCACAACCCAGCCAAGAGCTGCATCTGAGCTCACCTTGCTCAGGCACTATTTCTCCAGAGGGGCCACCAAGCTGTTTGTTTGCAACTAAGCTAAATTGCTCCCAAGAGACACCTTTGTTTCACAACATATTTTCAACTCAACTTTTCCTGCAAACATGTCCATGTCTGCGCACGCACACGTACACACTGGCCCTAAAGGGTAGACTTGGCCAGGCGTGGCTGTAGCCCTTTCTTCCCTGAAGTTTCTCTAACGATGCCAATTAGAGCTAAAGAGACGGGCCTCCTTAACAGAATCCTGTCTTGACATTTACCTTCTAGGCCCTGTTCCTTCCTTGTCTTGCTCTCCATGGCACAAAGGCAGTGCAAGCTTTGTTCTGGGGACAGGAAGTGCTATATGCTGCCTGCGTCTAAATGGGTGGGCTGCTTCATGTCTCTGCTTCTCTGAGCACTCTTCTGCTCTTTCCTGTGGCTGGGGAAAGCACCAAGGTGGCCTGTAAGGAGGCCTTGTTTGCAACCCTGCAATCATTCCTGATCAGAGGGCAGAGGAACATTCTAGGCTTTTCTAGGCACTCTTAACTGTTGGCAAGAAGGGCTTGTCATCCGTCTCTCTATTCTGCTCAGTGGTGTTTCCTGGCACTGTGTAATTCCACTGTATTGGGACTGGAGAGAGAATCTGCCAAGTTTCTCTTCATTAGGTGTCCTTGTCCCCACCTTTAATTGGGCCAAAGTCCAGGAGCCATATGTACAGGGTCCCATGGGGCTGACAGGGGGTTCTGAATCCCCATCTCAGAATCTTTGTAAATCCCAGTGTCAGAAATAGAAGAATTCCCTTAGCCACTGAGAACCCAGGAGAGGTGATGGGTACTAGCAGTGCAGGCCCCAGAGTTATAAGGTGAGAAGACAGAGAAGCCACATTTGGAGAAGTCAAATTTTGGAGTGTTCATTAAAAGGCCAGTGACTACATGGTAGGCTCCTATCTCAAACACCAGCAGCCAGCAAATACACTTAACATTGCTAGAAAACTGAGCCATGAAGGCCAGAGAGGAAAGAAAGAACAAAAACAATACCAACAAACGAATTCAGCTGCAATGGAAAGCTGAAGTGGGATGCCATGGTGACCAGAGAACAGCCAGGAGCCAGGAGACACAACTCAAACACGGAGACACGTAGCATGGCCCGATGGGCCTGAGCTGGTCCAAGCCTAAATAGGGTTAGGTCAGGGGGCAGAGTCATAAGAATGTCCCAGTCTCAGGCACTGGACTGACAGGTTTAGTAACCTATCAGCCAGTGCCCGCCCCTGCTTCCAGGGATTCAGGCATACCCATCACCTGTTGGGTGGGGGCTTAACCTTCCCCCACTGTTAGAGTAAATTACACTCAGCCAAAATACCATGTGGACATCCATGTGGGAAGAACAAAGGAAAGGTTTATTGCCAGTAAGGAAACTGGCAAGACCCCATCTCACCAGGTGAGAGGAAGTGAGAAGAAGTGCTATTGTCTCAGGTGACCTTTTATAACCTCCAGGATGTGGGGGATCTTGCTGCCTTATATGGTTATAGCTATCCCAACAGGTTGCTCTCTCTGGGAAAGGGGGTAGGGATTGATCATTTGCTGCCTTTACTACATGGGCCTAGTGTTGCCTAGGGAAAGAGCATGTTAAGCCATGAGGGAGGAGGCTTCTGGGCTAACACCCACCATGAAGACAAGATGCCAGATCTTCCCATTCACCACATGGCCAAGATGGCGTGGGCCAGACCTGAATTCCCTATTTCACTTGTACTTAAGCTTCTTCCTTTCTCAATTGCCCCCTCACCTGCTCTTTTCCTCCCCTCTTCTCTTTCTTCCTTTTCTTTTCTTTCTTTCTTCCTTTTCTTTCTTTCTTTTCTTCTTTTTTTTTTTTTTTTTGGTAGTCATGGGCTTGAACTCTGGGCCTGGGCACTGTCCCTCAGGTCTTCAGTTCAAGGCCAGTGCTCTACCACTTGAGCCACAGGGCCACTTGTGGCTTTTCTGGTGGTTTAGTGGAGATAAGAGTCTCACAGACTTTCCTGCCTGGGCTGGCTTTGAACCGCAATCCTCACATCTCAGCCTCCTCAGTAGGTAGAATTACAAGTGTGAGCTACCAGCACCCAGCTCTCCCCTCTTTTCTTCCCTCTCCCTCTCTCTCTTTGGTTCACTCTCTGGCTTGGTGTCTGTGTCCCTCGTCCCTGTCTTTCTCGTTTCCCCTATTCTCTCTCTTTTCTCCTGTCCTCCTGGTCTACTCATGGTTTCACTCATTTTATATCTACTGATATACTCTGACATCTTTGTAGGCAGATTTGGGGATCTAAGAAAGACCCACTTAGCCACAAAGCCAATGGAAAAAATCCCAAGTCTGCACCCACAGCCAACTGTGCATTGATCCCTTGATCATGGGAAAGTGAGCAGGTCTTTTCCTGGAACTGCAGCAGCCTGGTACACATACCCTGCGGATGACATGCTTGGTGCGGCTGTGTGCCCTAGGGATAGATGATTCAGCTTTCAGAGCTGTAGAAGAATCTCATCCTCTCTCGGAGAATCTGTAGGACACTGGCCACTCCCTATGTTAGGAGTAAAGAAAACCCATCCTTGGCCCAGCCCTGCCCCTGTCTTTTCCCAAACCTCAGGGCCACATTTCCCCTCTCCGGAACTCAATTTCCTCTTGGGCTAATGAGCTGTTTTCTGGTCCCTTCCAGATTTCCTCTGATTGTGTCCCTGCACCAGCTGGACTGGTCATCGACACCAAGTGACAGGGAGGACTTTGTGAGTTCCAGGGGACAGGGAGCAGATGGCAGCAGCTCAGTCCCCAAAGTCTAAAGGCTTTTGATGAGATGGACTGTTCCTCATCAAACCTGACCACCATGGTCACAAGTGAGTCTTACATGAGAATCTCACGCACCAGGTTTTGATGCTGCATTAAAATTTTATTACGTTCTTTGCGCAGAGCGGGGTGAGCCACGTGGAATGAATCAGGGAAGGAAGAAACAGCCACCACCGCCCACCGAAGATGGAACAGCAGGTGTATTGGGGTCACAGAGGTATGGCTCAGTGAGGCTTGAGCTGGTATTATTGTAGGGAATGGTGTTACTTTGTCTCCCGCCTCTGTGACACACACCAGAGGTCCTCCACTCTGGCAGCAGCAATGACGTCACCTGACCCAGGCAGGTGGTGTGACTAGAGCTGAAATATGGCCCCAGTGTTGTCTGAAAGCTGCTGGAAGGAGAACAGGCAAGGGTGGCCCAAAGAGAAAAGGAAAAACGGGAAGAGGGCGAAAGCTCTTAGCGGGGTTACACTGGCTGTGGAGCATTACTGGCGCATCCACAGCCACAGGTTGACAATGCAGGCAGACAGCAGCAGAGTGAAGAGCAAAGTCTCCTTGTAGCGCCAGGTGGCATCCTGGTCCTCCAGGACGCGCAGACGCGCAGTGATCACCTGCATCTGGGGAGAGAGCAAAAGTAGGGCTAGTATGAAGTGAAAACAGTAAAGAGCTTGGTTGTCCTTCAGTGAACCCAAGTACCCTGGGGAGGGGAAGGACCTGACTTTATACTCCTACTCCTCAGTGTTTCTTCCTATGCTTAATTTGTACCCCAAGCACCCCACTCGCAAATCTCTTAGTACTGATCTTGAGACACATTGTTCCGCTTTTGTCTTCTCTGATTCCTTTCCAGTATGTTAGAGATGAGCGGGCCTTGAGAGCGATCATCAGCATAGGGTGTGGGAAGCAGTGAAGGCAGGCTAATTTTACCTTGAGTGCTATGGAATAAGATTATACAGCTGTGGTTTCGTTGCTGTCAACACACCCACCCTAAGGCATTATGATACTGCCTCTACTTGATAAGGGTCCATGACCAGCAGCTGCTCACCTGTCGTCTCATGATTTCCATCTCCAGTCCATTGAGCTCTTCCAGGCCTATCTCTGCCACCAAATCTGCCCCTGGGTTGCTGGTGGGAAAACAGAGAGCTAGGCTGCTGCTGGCCCCATGTAGGACCAGTGGCAAGGAGATAAAGCAGGGGACTTCTTGCATAGGGACTGTTTTGCCTCCAAACCTTCCCTTCTGGGATAATGATGGCTTTTGGTCTGGACACTGTATTTGGAGGACTCAAGTGGCCAGAAAGCAACAGAACTCCAACATCCCAAACACACTCCTTCCAGGCCAGACTACTGACCTTGCCACGTCCATGCCCAATCAGCCAGGGCCCAAAGTGCTCCAGCTCTTACCGATCATACTTGTATCTCATGTTTGGGGCATTGCCAGTATTCTCCTGGGCATGGGTTTCACCATGGCCTTGGTCTCTTTGCATCCTGGGCAGCTGTGAGTGATGTCCCTATAAAAAAGAAAGGTCCCTCCAAGTCACCTGCTCAGCTCCACCTAAGCAGCTTCCCCACACTTTGATGGGCAGACCTTTTGGTATGTGCTCCTCCATAATCAAGGACTAGAAGAGTCAGCACGACACCCACCCTCTGCCTCTCAGGTGCTCTGGCTGTTTCAGATTGTGGTGAGGAAGGAACAGTAACAGGGTCCCTGTCTCCTGCCACAACTATCACAGATCAATACCACCTGGACTCTGAGCAACCAACTGAATCATAATATAAAAGCCATTTAACAGGAGGTATTGGCGCCTGACCTTCACTCTGGCTTCTGCGAAACCACCTACTTTTTCAGGTCAGGCCCATGGCATTCATTTTCAGAGAGAATCTTGCAGGCCAAAGGCACCAGGTACTTTTACTTATTTTTTTCTTTTTTATCGTGAAAATACTGTTACAAAGAGGAGTTACAATTACATGGGCAAGATAATGAGTACATTTCTTATCAAGCATTGTAGCCTCCTCCTTTGTTTCCCCTTCCCATCCCTTCCCATCCTCCCCTCGCCCCCCCCCACTCCTCCCCCACCACCACCAAAGTTGTAAAGTTCGTTTTCAACATAACGACTTGTACATCTTATGCACCAGGTACTTTTAAAGAATAAGGTGGCAACAAGGAGTCAAACATAACATGCGAGTGCCAGAATTTCCTGGCTCTGGGTTTCTGGCTATTATTTCACGTAATTTTACCACTTCGCAGGGATAATGCCATCCTCTAAGCCCTGATCAATATCAAGTGATCAAATCCAGGCCATCACAATGTACATCAGGTGTTATCATCTCAGTTTGAAAGATGAAGAAACTGAGACGCAGAGAAGTTAAGCAGTGGGCTCAGAGCCATACTTGGAGCATTGTGCACCAGAGGTTGTCCTGTGAACCATTAGTCCACATGCTCTCACAGTTTCCCCTGAAGTCCCCACTAAGTGACAGTCATAGCAGCATTTCTCACTCTACCTTCCTGGCAGCCACACACTTATCCCAAGCCAAAAGAATCAAAACCAAATTGATAAGAAAGCTGGGGTGTTCATGCCACCAAATAAAACTCACTTCCTCCTGGCACTCAGGGGTTCCTATATGCCCTCGTGTTCCTTGCCCATCACCCTGCTGAAGCAGAGCCTACTATTTGGCAGGCCTGTCACAGATATACATGTGCACAAGTCTAGAGTTCCTCTTCTATTGCTTTCATTCTTACTTACCCAGGAACAGACATCCAGGGCTCACCTGTCACCTGAAAAGGGCCTGAAGCCTTCCTCTGTTCTTAAGCAACAATATGAACATGAAAGTTATTGCTGTCAAAGGATTTCTTAGGAACCTGGCCACTAGGCTCTGTGAGTGTCATTAATACCAAGTGTCTCATACAATTCCTACACTAGCCCCTTGATTTTCCTGTAGATTGGAATCAAAAGTATGGAAAACATTTTTGAGAGATTGGAAGAGAAGATTACAGTGACCAATGCCTCCCAACAACCAACTTCTGGCCTCTTTGACTCTCATAGTCAGGCCGTAGCTCCGACAGGCAGTAGCTGCTCCCTGCCTCCCCTTCCCTACCCCCAGGCCATCTGCCACATAGCAAGGACCCGAACCTTACCGTTTTCTTGGCCCGAGGGGTAGTCATAGTCCAAGCTGGCTGGGTTCCAGCAGAAGTAGTAACCTTTGATTCCAACTTCTGTCTCCGTTGAGAAACACCTGGAGACCAGGGTCCACGCTCTATCATTTCTACAGAGAACAACACAGATACCCCCAAAACATCCCATCAATTGTGACAGTACACAGTGGCAGCTTAGATGAGAGGGAGACCGGAGCCTCTTTCCTCTTGGACTACAAACTGTTTTTTATTGTGAAAATACTGTACAGAGGGGTTACAATTACATGGCAATATAATGAGTGAATTTCTTAGCAAGCATTGTAGCCTCCTCCTTTGTTTCCCCTTCCCATCCCTTCCCATCCTCCCCCCCCCCAAATCCTCCCTGCCCCCCCCACTATAAACTTTTTACATCCATTTCCCCCCTTTTCTCCCTCTCGTTGTACTCTTATCTCCAGTGCATATATTTGAGACCACATGTGTGTAACCAAATACAAGTTGTCTAGACACACAGGCATATTCTACAATGTATGGATGCAATCCATAACGGTAGTTCAAAGGCCAACATAAGTGGCTAGAGCCTTGGGGCATTTTACTGACTCCTTACCTGTGATCGCCATGTGCTCTTGGCTTTGGGAATGGTTTCCCGGCACCGAGTCCTCATCCAGGGACATTTCTAACTCTTCCTTGACGTTGGCAGGGTTTCCTGCCATCACTAGCAGTCGTTCCCTTTGCCTCTTCACAGGGTGGAAGGCGCTGTGGAGGCACCTAGACAGTGAGTTTGTCAAGGGCGAGGAGCTCAAGGCAGATATACCCCAGCATAGGGGTGGAGACAAACTCCCTCTCTAGCTAGGATCCGGGACTGGGTACCTTGTGTTCCAGCCCTATCTCGTGGGCTGTGCCTCTGGTTGCCTCCCTGTTACTCTGTAAGCATCTTAGAAGAGATACGGCTCAGAGCCTGGCTTGTGAGAACCACTCTGTCTTGCTAGTCCCATGATTTAGTTAGTGGGGAGAGGGGTAGGTGGGGTTGAGCCTCCGTCACTTCTAGGGAGAGGCAGGAACTGGCACAGGGCCCAAAACAGGACATGTCCAAGGACTATCACCATTTTGACCTACCTCAGGACAACAATGAATGGCACGCATTATATCAGAAGAAGTTCTCTGAAGAGTGCATAGTGCCTCCCACCTCCCTCCATCCAGAGTTCCAGGACAGCAGAGATGCCTTTTGTTGTTTTTAGTTTTTAGCTGAATCCGCCTGGGAAGAAACAATGAGAACAAAGGGGCAGAGAAGAAAAAGCAGAGCGCGGATCCTCGTTCCCTGATCTGAGTTTCAATTGTCCTTGCTGATTAAACCACCATGTTGGTCAGCTTCATGTGTCAGCTTGGCCAGGTTCTAGTCCCCAGTGAGCTCAACATTGCTTTGGAGGCACTTTTTAAACTATTACCTAGTAATACAAATACATTACAATTCTTTGTCAAGTTGTGCATACAATGCTTCTTGATCAGAGTCACTCCTTCCATCATTCTCCCCCATTAGAAGAAGTGCTTACCATCCTCAATCAGTGAAAGATTTGAAGAGCAAACAGTTAAGTTGATGTTAGGGAAATGAACCCTAAGATATGTATTTAAATGTTTTTTTTCTTTCTTGTGATGGTTTCTAACACATTTATAAGATTATTTCTTTGTTGCTTTGTATGTCCCTCCCCCACGGTATAACTCCTGCTTTCACTATATTTGATGTTGGTATAATTTGTGGAGGGGAAAGGAAAAAAACAAATTGTTTAAATAGGGATACAGGTGGACTCATTGCAACAATCAGACGTACAACTCGTTATGTGGAAAACGAACTTTACAACTTTGGTGGGTGGGGGTAAGGATTGGGTGTGGGGGCGGGGGTGGGGAGGATGGGAAGGGATGGGAAAGGGAAACAAAGGAGGAGGCTACAATGCTTGATAAGAAATGTACTCATTATCTTGCCCATGTAATTGTAACCCCTCTGTACGGTATTTTCACAATAAAAAGTAAATATATAAATAAATAAATAAAAAGAGCAAACATCGAGGTTTCCCTAAGGAAGAGAAATGTCTACGACAAGCCCAAAGCACTAACTCCTACCTGAGTTCCCAGCCTGCGTCCAGTGTTACAGAGCTCAGCCTCGCAGTCTCATGAGCCAGTAGCTCAAATCAATCTCTACACACACACACACACACACACACACACACACACACACACACACACACACATCATGTTCCCATACACTCTTCCAGAGGATCCTGATTAACACAACTACCAAATATGAAGACTTGGCTCTTAGGAACAGTTCCAGAGTCCTTGAGGAAAGAAGGGGCTATTTGTCAAAGGAATCAAGCAAAGCTGGGGCCAGCTGGGAAGAGAAAAAAAAAATAGGAAAATGAAGGAATAGAGGGAAGTACTGAGGCCAAGACCAGGTGAGAGAGAGTAGTGTGGTCTTGATCTGCCTGCCTGCACCAGTCCCACCTGTGCCATTCACATACACAGGCCCTGCATGCATTCCTGAGGACTCCAAGGAGAAGGCCCTCCCTTGCCAGCTCCAGCAGAGCAACTGGACTGAAACCTGAGCTTTCTGAGGGGCCCTGCTAGGAGCAGAGAAAGTGCTGAGAGAATGTATTAGGACTCAGGAGTCCAGGAAGCTGGAGCCTTATGTTTCTGTCCAGCCACAGCTGCCGAGCTGAGCAAATGAAAATACAGGAGACCCAACAAATTTTAACTTCGCATAGACAAAGCATTGTGTTACTATTATGATCTGTGCCACATTTGGGACATACTTCCACTGAAAACTACTCCTGACTTATCTGGCATTCTAATGCAACTGGAGAGCCTGTATATTATAGTGGCAAACCCTTGCCCTTCTCATTCTTTCACTGAGCTCAAGATTAGACGTTGGATGAGTGTTTTCCTTCTTTGTGCTCAGTGGCTTGATGGGCAGTAGAGTTGCATCCCCTCCATACAGGGCTGGTAGAGTGGGAAAAGACTCAGAAAGCAGGAGAGCAAAATGGTGCTGGGGCTAACTTGTCACAGCTATCCATTACCAGAACAGAAGCAATTGCTTTCCACTGCCTACTTGCCTTAATCCATGGAGGCTTCCTGGGAACAGGAACACTGAATCCAGGTGCCTGAGAGCCACTGCCCCCTGGTGGCATAGGAAGCCATCAGTGGAAGCCAAGGAAAGCCTGGGCAATCTTTCTTCCCAACCCTGGGGTCTAAAGAGTGGCATCAGGAAACTGCCTTAGCATGCTTGCCTCGCTTGCACTGGGTACCCCTGTTCAGTAGCATAATCTTGGAAGCAGGAAGGGCTAATGCACCCAGGGTACAGAGCAATCTGACAAGTCTTACTTTGTAACTGGGTCCAGGAAGACGACTATGGCTGTGCATGTAGCTGGTTGCTGAAAGCTGCGCTCAAATGGCACACTTCCAGGGGAGGCCAGGGAACGTCCCTCACTTGGACAGATGCCCCTAGGAAAGGGAAAGAGGGGTCCAGAACACATCTGTTATATCCATGTCTACTTGTGTAGTGTGCAGGGTCTTTAACCTAGTGAGTCCTTGTGTCTGAGGTGCATGTTGTTCTCCAATTTACTTTCTTAACTGAATAATGTGCCTCGGAGATCTTATAAGGGAACAGAGCTATCAAATTTCTTTTAAACCTAACTCCACTGCCTCCCTCCACCTACCCATGGACATTTTGAGTATGTAGACATTTTACTTTTACAAACAATGTGGCAATGGGCACTTCTGCACTTCCTTCTTTGTGCACCAGTACAAATGTGTTTGTACAGCAAGTGCTTAGAAGTGGAGTTGTGAAGTTCTGGGGTCCATGTTGAGTTCAGGTTATACTATCCATATTGCTAACAAACCCTCTAAAGACTGTAGCAAATGGGAGCCATGAAACCAAAGGAAATGTTTGTTTCTTTCCAGTCAGTCCTCTCCACAGAAAATATTATGGAACTTTTAAAAAGGCATCATTATCATGGATGAAAAATGATATCTATCTCACTGTTGCTTTAATCTATTCTGCTTTAATTATGAATAAACCTAGTGATTTTCCATTTGTTTATTGATCTACTGTATTTATGTCTTGTGAACTACCTGCTGGAGGGCTTGGCTCTTTACTAAAATAAGAGCGGTTTTATTAGCAGAAAGGGGTGGGGGTGAAGGCTCTCTGTTCCTCACAGACAAACCTCTCCAAAGGAAACGTATACTCTTTTTCCCTACCGTGATCTTGAACACATGGTTTCCACTGGGGACCAAACGCAACCTTTGTGTGCAAGTTTTCCACTCAAACCTAGAGGACATCCAAGCCCAGCACAGAGCAGGTGTTTATCTCAACACACGCTGTTGCCTGCCTGCCTGCTCACCTGCCTTTGGGCCTGCCTGTCATTCCTTTGGCCTGTGCTTTGCCTGCCTGAGGAGCTGCCTCCAATAATGCCTCCCATACACTGGTTCTTTCAGCTGTTAAGCCAACTGGTCCAGTCTTGAGTTTCCCTCTCCCTAACCAGCAGCTGTAGAAGGTGGCTGAAGTCCAGCCCTAGGGCCAGTACCCAAGAGTGACTCTTAGGCCTGTTACTGAGCACCTTTGTGTTTTCAGGGAGGTGCCTTGGTGTCTGGCCTTCAAGGTACAACCTAGCTCTCTTCTTGTACAACATGCTGCTCTTACTGTTTTTTTGGTGGGGAGGGGAATTCTATTAAGAGGTCATTCAAATACATCTCAAAGGAGAGTCTAAATGCCATTGGGTGCCCCAATCCAAGTGAGTGACCCACCAGCCTAGATCTTTCAGGAAGCTAGCAGCTTCCTGTATTTCTTTTGCTACCAAAGCTTTGGGACCTGTAAACAATTCTCCTTCCTGCAACTCCAAGATCCTTCTCCCAACACAGGAAGTGGAAGGGGAAATAACGAAGCCTTAAAGAAACAGGAAGGACAGACACAGGGAGATAGGTTCAAATTGCAGAGATTGCAGCTGCTCCAGGGAAGGAAGGCTATGGCATGAGCAGGGCAGCAATGGTAATGAATATAAAGTAGCAGGGCCATCTAGAGCTGGTGTCAATTCCTATTTCTATGGGCCCAGAATCGCCCACTTTTCCCTGTCTCATGCAATATGGCTATCAAGACTGGCCATGTGTTATGAGTAAGTGTTGGAACAAGGTTCCTGTCCTTACACTGCTTATGTTCTATAGGCAGATAGAAGCAAGCTGATGGAGAGAAAGTTCATGGGGCTTTGGGAACAGTGATAGGGAACCAGTCGTGTGTAGCAATCATGCTTACTGCTTGGGAATCTGGTGGATGCTCACTGGAGCTTTGTGAACCTAAGAAGGAAAGACGATAAAGACATTTGGCTCAACCGTTATCCAGCTCCCACAGGCCCTCAGGGACATCTTGGAACCTCCCAAGGGACTCACATAGATAGAAACACCTCTCCTGCATTGAATGGAAAGTATGGAACAGTGGCAGGGAGGAGCAGCTCCAGCCAAGTAAGCTGAAGACACAGACACAGAGCACAGCCATGGCTTACACACCAGCAAGAGTGCATGACACTAAGCAGTGTTCCCACAGTCCAGTCCTGAGCTAGTGCTCACAGCCAGAGGCCATTCTGCAGCATTCCCCAGTCCCTTCAGAGCAGCGCCTAATGCCTTCCACGGGGGAGGGAGATTCCCTCAGCCATACAAGAGCTTTTGTTCCCAG